ACTTTATCATCAGCTTTCTTAACAGTAATATTTATGCTTCTGCTGCTGAGCAGTGAGGACCTTTTGAAACAAAAAATCTTAAATATCAAATAAAAGTTCACACATCCATTCATTTCCTTCCTCCTCAGACGACCCTGACCCACAGACCCCTCTCTGACAAGAGACATTTCCACAGCATGACATCACACTTTGGGTACGCTCAGGGCGCGCCCACCCTCACCAGTGTGGATATTATAAAAAGTTCACTTTTTAAAAACCGTATTTGTCGTGCGCGCAGGTGGTGTGTGTGTGCTCTGCTGCAGATAACAGAGCAGAGAGGGGGAGGACGGGGGGAGAAGAGYGGTGAACTTAACTTTATCTGACTTGCTTTATCTTATTCATTGATTTTATCGTCCTCTGAGAGAAAATTAATTTGAAGCTGAGTTTTTGATAAAAATGGTCAGATTACTCTAAACGTCTGTAAATCTGCAAAATGAGGGAAAATCTGTGTTGATTACAGACGAGCAGCTGTCGTCCTCCAGACTCACGACGCAGAGCGTGTCTGAGTCAGCCAATCACTTTTTTTTTTACATGATTTAAATACATCTTAACATTCATGAGGTACTTTACATTGACTGTTTATGGTTGAATGTGGGCGTGTAGAGGGCAGAACCTGAGGCGGGACCTTGTGTGCAAATTTTGAGGCACAGCTGTGATCTATAAAGAGAAAATGCGGTGAAACGTGCGTACGCACGGTTTTATAAATCTGAATTCTTTTTTGGCGTACGCCATTTTCGTCTTTTGGCCGTACGTTCATTTTTAGTATGGTTTCCATGCAATCCTTTATAAATCTGACCTCTGGTCACACACCCKCAGGAAAACTGACTCATCCCCACAGCGCCGCCAGCTTCCTCTTTATAGGAGCTCTGAATAAGGAAGTTGTGACACCTTGTGGTGACACCTGTTACATACRGTTCTCAGTGAACTTTAACCCTGCTGCTGTTGGCTGTGTGCTTTCAGGGGGCGTGACCCGTATGACGGTCTCTCTGGTGGTCATCATGTTTGAGCTCACCGGTGGTTTGGAGTACATCGTCCCCCTCATGGCCGCCGCCGTCACCAGCAAGTGGGTGGCGGACGCCTTCGGCAAGGAGGGCATCTACGAGTCGCACATCCAGCTGAACGGGTACCCGTACCTGGACGTGCGGGACGAGTTCACCCACCGCACCCTGGCCACGGACGTGATGAGGCCGCGCCGGAACGACCCCCCTCTGGCCGTCCTCACACAGGACAGCACCACGGTGGAGGACGTGGAGACRCTCATCAAAGACACGGACTACAACGGCTTTCCCGTGGTCGTGTCCCGCGAGTCGGAGCGGCTGATCGGCTTCGTTCAGCGCCGAGACCTCACGCTCGCCATCAGTAAGTCTAACAAAACCTGACGGTGTCCTCCAGGTTCTGAAGTAGCTTCACAGACTCCGCCCCCCTTCCTCTTCGTCCACAGAAAACGCCCGTCAGAAGCAGGACGGCGTGGTGAGCAGCTCCGTGGTCTACTTCACAGAGGATGCTCCGCAGCTGCCGGCCAGCAACCCCCAGCCTCTGAAGCTTCGCCGCATCCTGAACCTCAGCCCCTTCACCGTCACAGACCACACCCCCATGGAGACCGTGGTGGACATCTTCCGCAAGCTGGGCCTCCGCCAGTGCCTGGTCACCAGGAGCGGGTCAGGAACACTTTGATTCTTTATTTATTTCACCGTGTTTACGTGTTCCTGTGACGCAGCCTGCAGGAAGACTATACAGATAATTAAAGAGTGGAACTAACTTTTTATTAAGTGGTTTAGCTCATATGTTAGTTTTATTAATGGTTAACAGATCCCACTTCAACAAATATACATTCCATTCACAGTCTCTCTTTTATAAACATAGAGCACTGTTTCTGACTCGTGGTTTCAGTTTACAGCCAGTGAKAGACTTTAAGATGAATTCTAAACAAAACCTGAACAAGAATCTGTCAAGAAAAATCAAAGTCGACAAACATTAATTTCCAGAAATGTTCCCAGCATTCTTTGCAGCAAATCTTACAGAGAAGAGAGTTTCCTCTGGCCAAAATGTAGTGATTTATACAGCTTCTTATAATAAAATTTATAAGGAAATTCACGGGGTCTTCTTCTTTTCGATAATATATTCTTTATTCAAAATTGAATGGACCAAACACATAAAAAGATGAGCGTACTCAGTGATTTTAAGTTGATCTAAAATAAATGAGATCATTTATTTATTTACAGAATCAAATAAATCACTAATATACAGCTTATTGTGAGATTATTTACCTATAAAAAGTTTAACAACAAACTTTGAGGTTCAGAAGTTAATAAACCATTTGTTTGTGGCACTTTTTCTTAAGTTTTGGCAGGGCAGGTTTAAGAGGAAAGAAAGGAGGAGGAAGAGGATTAGTTAGTTTTAACTTTATCCTTTTAAAAATGTGGATTTTAACCAGAAATGGCAGACGCATACCCGTTGCAAAATAAAATAAAGTTAAACCAAGACTCGCATACAAACCTCACCTCTGAACAAGACATGAAGGCTTTTATCTGTGAAGCATTTTGAGTTGTGTTGACTTACACTAGATATATGTTTACATGGACACAAGTAATCAGAAGAAACAGCCAGCGGGAATAAAAATGCCTCGTTAACACTACAGTCAAATTATTTTGATCCGATTCAGCTCGATCCAATTGAATTTGTAATCTGATTGAGAGGGGTGGTTTATATGGATTGATAATCTGAATGTAAACACTTCATCTGCACTGTAAGAAAATGAGATGTTGGATTTACTTAACCATGTTATGTTACCTGGTTCCACTTAACTGAGTTGAGTAAATTCAAAGCAATATACCAGTTTTTTAGCCAAAGAACATGAGTATGTTTCTTTGAATTTACTCAACTTAGTTAAGTGGAACCAGGTCACATAACATGGTTAAGTAAATCCAACATTTCATTTTTAGAGTGTGATGGTCTTGGTTGTGGAAAACCGACCTGACAGAACTTTAATGAACGTTTGTTTCCTCCTGCTCTCTCATCTGGTAACAAATGAAGACAAACAGCATGAGATGCTTCACTTGTAGCTCGAGCAGGGAGAGCAGCAGCACCTTCACCGGTCCATTCCGGACGCACAGAAGACCTTTGTTTATACTCATCACAGAAGTAGAACTTCTACTGTGTGTGTTTTTAGGGAAAGTTTACAACTCTGCACATGTCAGTATTAATCTGAGTACAACTTGGTACATGTAAATGCTTGTCATGATCGGATTAATTACAAACGATACATTCAGATTTAATCCAAATAGATTTTAATCCAATCAGAACATTTTGAGGATGTGAACATAGCTGCAGTCACATCCCACATTTAGAGTTGGTTTGATWATCTGTGTTGAAGCTTTTTGCTCACTGACTCTAAACCTGACACCATGAGTGAAACAGGTCTGAGGCCCAATGAGTAGAGGGACAGTGAGTCAGAGGGTGTTGCTCTTATTGGCACATACTGGATGTTAATATATTGTTTATAAGCAGTATTTATGTACTATCTTAGTGTTAGCAGAGCTAAGTAATTTGTGTAGCAGTAGRTGTAGGGGTGGACAATACCAAGTAAATACAGGACTAGTATCACTGATGTTGATGCTTGTCATGTTCATTGAATATTTATGTGTTTTTGTCATTAGTCTGTTATACAAACACAGAACAAAGATTTTARGTACTTTATTTGTGAAAAATGAAGTCAGTGTTGCAAAAAAGTGTAAACAAAATATTTGACACCATCTCCCTAGTATCGATCCGATACTCACCTTGGTATCGATATTTGGATTGATACGCCCGCCCCTGTTTAGAGGTTAGTGAAGCTGACATTATGGTTCGTTGTGCCCATTACTTATAAATGGTGATCAGAAATCTGTATCTCAAATTCTGTTAAGTATTATTAAAACAAACAGTTTATACAAGTCTTTGAACACAGCATAGCTGAGCAGGAGGCTGAATTCTTGCCAGTTTTGTAGCAAAACCTTTATAAATGGTTAAAAAGTGATAATTAATTAGGATTAACATTTTTATTAAATGTTGGAGCAAACAATAAATAAACTTTTTAGTGTTTATTAATCTTTAACAGTGGGAGGTGGTTTCAGACACCACTTTTATTACCTGTTGTTACATTACGGATTGAGCTTTCCAAATGAACAATGGCTGGATTACATCATACAGTCACTTGTTGTTACAGGTGTGTTTTTGTGTTAGCAGTTTAATTCTCCTGCTTTTGAATSAAGTTATTTATTTGTTGTTGTTTATGTTGTTGTTGTTCCAGGCGGCTGCTGGGCATCATCACTAAGAAGGACGTCCTGCGGCACATGGCCCAGATGATGAACCAGGATCCAGAGTCCATCATGTTTAACTGACTGACTGTAAATACACCTGCTTCTTTAGCTCCGCCCACCTCCCCTCACCTGTACTGACCTCACCTGTCTCAAGTATTTATTGCAGCTCATTGAAACAAATTAAAAACAGTAAAAAAAAAAAAAAAACTCGATGCTGATGGAAGGTCACAGAGACCCTGAACAAACTTGAAGGTCTGTAATACAAACCAACACTAATTAAAGTTTATTATTGTTATTTTATTTAATTAAAACTGTTTCAGGTTCGTTTGTCAAACAGGTAAGTTTGTTTTTAATTTAAGTGAAGAACTGAAGCATCTGTGAAGGTTTCAGAACCAGGACCAGTTTCACCAGAGAGGAAGCTCGGAATGTACGGAATATCACTTTAATCTGCATTAAATTCCATTAATCTGAGGATTAAAAACTGAAATAAACAAGTTTTTAAACATCTGACAGAAGTTAGAATAAACCCCAATTTAAAAATTTAGGTTTAATTCATTTTTAATTAATTTATCAAATATTTAAAATGAATTAAAAATAGTTTCTGTTAAAACCATTTTTTAAGCTGCTGCCATATTTCTCTGATCTCTGCCAAGTGTACTATTTTTTTTTAAGTTTGTTTTTATTCGTGCATCTAAGGAAAATCTGCAGGTTTGTTTGTTTTCAGAGGATTTATTGTGTGCTAAAATGTAAAAATGTGAATTCAGACAGTTAAACGGTCAGAAAAATGAGTTTGCACTGCTTTTCCTCCTCGTTGCAACACTAAAACTGTTTATTTTCTGTAAAAAGATAAACAAAAACTGAATGTGTTATCGTTACATGTAATTTCTGATTTTAATCATAAACAGACCATCTGTAGCAAACTGATTTATTGTTTTTTTTTTATTTTTATTATTTATTTAGTCCGAACTGATAGTGTTGTTGAATCATTGCACTTTTTGTTCCCGGTTTGTAAAAGTTGGAGAAATAAACTTTTAAAGTTGATTAATGTTTATTTTCTGCTTATTATTTATTTACTCTGACTTTTTTTTTTCTTCAGATCAGTGAGGCAGTCAAAAACCCCACATTTTATAGGTCCATACACACAGATCAAAAATCATAAATTTTCCTTAGTCCCTGAACACAGCATAATTTATTGGGGTTAAGCATTCCTAAATTTGTCCAGTTAAACAAAATCCTATATGGTTTTTCAGTCACTGAAAGCACCGTGGACCTACTTTAAAGGTTTTAGATCTACCAGGACAATAAAAAAATCGGGAATTTTCTTAGATCCGTGAATGCACCATAACGGAGGCCATATATTTTGCAGAACAGTGAATGCAACGCGGCTTTGTATTTGTCTGTATTTGACTTGTTCCATGAATGTACTGTAAAAATAACTTGGACGTTTATTCGTTCAACCGCAGTTAAATATTGATCAAATCTCTGTTTTCCCAAAAATATAAAGACATTTCTAACCCAGCATTCAGTGTTTTAATGATCACGAACTAGTAAGTATTAACAAAACAGCTAGACGTCATTCAGAAATACTACGTTTTTCAAAGGTTAGTGGTCATTGCAGATTTTTTTAATTTATAGTAAATCAGATTTAAATTATGCACCACAGATTTGCATTAAAAAAACGAGTTTTGTAGGCCTGCCTACCTGCGAACGGTCAAATGTTTATAATGCTCGTCCGCGTTCAGTGAACGCACCATACTTGCAC